GAATCCGCCAGAAGACGGCTATTACTACTCATGTCAACGATGACCACCATATGAGTGCCCTTTGTGTTGATATTCATCATTTGACGGATCAATGTCTTTGTCGGTGAGCCACAAGTCTGTCACTCAATGAGTTCACGTAAACATAGATTACATGACAAATATGTCATTTTTGTTCGAATGTTTGGTACTTTCCCACACGTTATATAGGCTTGAGTTGTGTTCATATGTATATCTAAAGGTCCCAAATATTCTTCAATGTTATCAATCCGTAATTTAAATGCTGTGAAAACACAACACAAACACGTGTTTGGCTTTGAATTGAGTTTTAGTGAAGTTTTAATTAAATTAATTGATTATATCGTACGAATAATGGATCACAAAAGTGAGCAACTATTGGATGAGAGTGGCAGCGGAAGTGGTGGACTCTTCAAGACTGGCGGACACAATCTGGTCGCTCGCCGGCCGGTCTTCACCAACGACTCCAAGTATTTGTTGATCTCTTCGGGCCCCGAGTTGCGCCGGTATGTCGTCGAAACGGGATCTTTCATAACGTGCCACGACTTCGGCCTCCAAAGTGAGATAATATCCGTGCAAATGATGGACAATGAATCGGACGAAGTGATGATCACATCGAGGGATGGTTTGGTCGTTGTCTGGGATTTGAGTGAAAACCGAAAACTCAATGAATTTCAGATCAAAGTGAACACAAACTACGAGACAATAGTTTGGTCACAGTTTGTGTCCAATTACTTCTACTTCACCACCAATCGGATTCAGGAGGAGACAAATGAACACAAGTGTCGGCTCTACTACTGCCCGAAGAACTTTGTGCAGCAGAAGATGGCAATGGATAACAAGAATGGCGTGAATGCGACGACCAATTCGGTGGCCTTTTGCCCGACGTCTTCGCCGCGATTCTGTGTCGCCGTTCACGAGAACATCCTTTATGTCTATCAGATCCCAGTGAAGCCCTCATCACTCCGTAAAAGACATTTCATGAATGAAGACAAACGGTTCACTTGTGTTGTCTCTCATCCATACGAAGACATAATAGCGACCGGAGATACGTTGGGAAGGATCACAATATGGCACGACTTAGTCAGCACACAGTCGGCCCACTCGCACATCAACGACTGGCCGTCGGTGGCCAACGACGAGCCCTCGCCCTCGTCGGCCGCCTCCCCGTTGTGTTCGACCCGATGTTCGGCTAATTTCCACTTCAGATCAAAACTGGCGCCGCATTCCGGGTATTCGCACACAAACTGTTTGTGCCCTAAATGTGTGAACTTATGGCGAACCAAACGGTACTCTTTGGCGAACTCTTTGCCGCACGTCTCGCACACAAACACACCGTCCGGTCCATCGGTTCCCTCGATGGGGCTCTCCTTAATGTCTTCGTATATGAAGTCATCCGTCATTTTGGGTTTAGGCGGTCGACCGCGAGATCTGCGACTACTTGTCGGCTGAGGAGTCACTTGAATAGGAGTTACGGACAGTTGTTTTGACGGTCGACCCCTTCCGCGACTCGACTTTCGACCGATTGATCCCCTTTTCATCGGTTTCTTCGTCACACTCTTAACCGACATTTTTTGTGACTTATTCTTAGGCTCGTAGTCATCATCGGACGAGTGGTCGACATATATAGGGCTTCCCTCAGAGTGAACGCTCACACCGTCGCCATTGTCTTCGGCATCAGCTCTTTGGTCGTCAAAATCGTTGTCTTCGTATTCGGAGAACAGATTCGATCGATAGTCGAGTTCAGTCTTCTTTGGTTTGTTTGTGTCCACATGTCTTGAGTTGATAATCGACTGCAACGACAAGACTTTGCTTTTGGTGACCTCTAATTGTTTGCGTTTTAAACACAACTCGTTTTGTATTAAATCCAAGAGTTTGTCAAAATTGATCACTTCGTTGAGAGTGCCATCAAATGCGGACAATGTCTGCCATTCGGGCGAAAAGTAAGCCTTAATTCGCGGCAAACTTTGGCGCAACTTATGGGCGATGAAGAGCACCAACAGTGCCATCACTCCTATGTCTCGGTCCACGTCTTCGACACTGTAGTCATCGACGGTATCATCACTGGTGTTGCCATTTGTGTGACCGGCAGACACACCGCTATCTAATCCGTCACTCAGTTGATGGTCTGGCGGTCGACACAATGAAGCGATAAACTCGTGATTGTAATACTGGTTAAGCCATGACTTAATCACATGAACCGACTGATTGTGGTTTGAATTCCTCTTGAGATTCAACTGATATTTGCTGCAAAGCGTGGTCTCAATCAGCGATATGACGGAAACCAACCGCAAGAATAGCACGGATTCGGCCTTCAGTTGAGACAAATGCGGAGATTTGGCCACAATTTTGTTGATCAGACTTACGATGGAGTGGTTGTGCTCTTCAGACAATTGGATGTCATTTGAATCCATTTGACAGACAATCAACTCATCGATTGTTTACAATAATAAGCAGTCGTTTGACTCAACACTCGATTCACACACAGATAGCGCTCTATTGGACACAACAGTCGAGTCCAGCGATTGGCACCGAAAAGAAAAGTCTTCAAAGTCTTCATACAGTTTATGGTCACTGGGTGTCCACATACCAGTGCCACAATCCATGATCACCTTTCGTAATAATGGCAAAAGACATTTAAATCTAGTGGTAATTGAGTAGACCATGATCAATTATTGTTTTACTACTTTATTATACCTGTACATCATTAACTGTATAATTAGAACTTTTAGTATCAATAAAGTTTTGTGAATGCTAAATGAATACAATGTTGATTATAATCTAGCTAATTATCTTATTATTGTTATAATTGCCCTATAATTGTCGTATAATTATTATTAATAGCTCTCCACTCCACTATTAATATCACTAAACCTACTCTAGGCTATGAATAAGGCATTATTCAATTTAATTAAAAATTATTTTATTTAGCAATTAATCCATATAAATTTTATTAAAAGTTTTATAAAAAATAAAAATATCACTTTAATTAACAGATTGAGATTACGGTATAGAAAAATCATAGTCATTACTTAATATCTGATCACTATATCAAAAGATTTCACATTTTAATTACGATATCATTAAATAACTGCCAAATCATTAGACATTTCACTATATTTGATGACTACTACGGTATTTGATGGTATTGTACGGTATTATCGGTATATTGAAAATGAAAAATAAAATCAAAGAAACACTAGAAGTCGTCGCGAAGTCTGTGTTTGAGATAATAACGAGATCTGAGTTTCGAGAGATGTCTGAACGCGAGAATTGTGTTCAAAAATTGCCCGAAAGTAGAGTTAATGCTGTCCTGAAGTAATCCCAAGAGTTTGTGGGCGTAATGGCCGTAAGTCCTGCTTTCGATGCCAACCGTTTTGATGGCTTCCCTCACGTAGTGGTCAGCCGTCGGACACGTGAATGAAGGCCTCATCGCCGACATGTTTGTGGACACAAATCCGGGCAAAACGCTCTGAACTATAATACCTTTGTCTCTGTACTCGTAGTAAAGACTTCGCGAGAGATAATCGCAGTAGACTTTGGACGCAGAATAGACGGCCAGAAGTGGGACCGGATTAGTGGCCGACAGCGACGACAAACTGATGATAATTCCCCGCCGTTTGGCCACCATTTTGGGCAAAACCAATGAAATCATTTTCGTCATCGAAAACACATTACAATTAATGATCGAATGGATGAAGTCTTTGAGTCTTTCAATTCGCGTGAAGTATTCACACGTCTTGGAACTCATGCCCACGTTATTGACCAACACGTCGATCACATCCAGACTGTCCGTCACCTCTTGGATCTTATCATAAATGTCTGATTTCGTGAAATCCACGGCCAGTGTCTTAATGGCCGCACACTTCGGGTTTTTGCTCAGCAGATCTGCCCTCACTTTCTGGAGTTTGTCGTCATTTCTGCTGATAATGAGCAGACAATAGCCCATACGAGCCAATCGGGACGCGTACTCAAGACCTATGCCATCGGTGGCTATAAACACAACCATACTATCAGTGAACTAAACCCACAATTCAGACAATGGGGACAAACCTCCGGTGATGACCGCCCAGGTATGCGGCGATGGTTTCCACACGACTCCCAAACCCAAAGCATTTCCCAAATATGTTGTGTAAAAGCCTTTCAATAGTTTATAACAGAAATAAAATGCAAACAAAAAGCAAACACATCTTCCGATGTATTCAAAAAGCATTGAATCTTCAGATTCTTCAGTCGTGGCACTCATTGCACCACAGATTACACACACAATCAGTCAATACATTTGAATACATAAACCATATTTGACTCGTCGTTGTCTCAAATGAGTCTTCAAAATGTCTTCAAATATCAATTCAATTGGTATTCATATGAGTGGATGAATGGGTCAGTGATTGTGGTAATGGTTAAGACAAGTGATGTGTTGTCATGTATTTCATGAACCACTGACTGACAGGTCTTTGACAGACATTGCATTGTTTACTACACTTGTGTTGTATTGACTGATGAGCTCTACAGTGAAGCCCACATTGCATTCAATTCAATGCAAATCCCTTTAAAAATTAAAAGTCTGTTGCAGTGAACGCACAGTCAATGCAGTGAAGTGTTGTCGACAGGCATTGCGTGTGTGTTGTTGTTGTTGTCACTGAAAAGCACGTGTTTTGGTGCACACAATGTCTGGAAGTGATGTCTTCACGCCAAGTAGTGGCCAATTGTTTGGTCTCTTTGGATGTACTGACGATCCAATCCCTCGAGAAGTCAGTTGTGATGATAACGGAGATGAAGTGATCGCAACTAATGACGAGTTGATGGAAAGGGATGGACAGAGCGATGAGATAATTGAATCAATTGATGAAAACAAGTGTATTGTCTGTAAAAGTAGTGAAACTAAATACTGTTGTCCGAAGTGTCACTCAAAGACCTGTTCATTGATGTGCTGTAAAACACATAAATTGAAGTACAGTTGCGATGGACTTCGAGATAAGACACGTTTCGTCAAAATGAATGATTTCTCTCAACAAGAATTTCTGTCCGGTATTTGATCTCATAGTCACCGCAAAGACATTCAAAAGCATTGATTAATATTTGTATTCCTTATGCGAAGACTACTTCTTCCTCGAAGAAGTGGACCGAACCCTCGACAACAGTGGCCGACAAAGACGTGCGATAATAAACTCCAAGAATTTTCTGCCAAAAGTAAGTCAATGTCTTATTATTATCAGAATTAACAGATCTCTTAACAAAATGTGTCTTATAGTGGCTCCAGAAGTTGGTCCGCGAGGCGAGACAACGAGGAATAAACCTGAAGATAATGCCCGGAGGGTTCAAACGCCGCAAACAAAACACTTCATGTTATATGTATTCAGAGAAAGTGATTCATTGGGACATTGAGTTCAAGTTTATCCACGCTTTGGACGACAAAGTAGTGGACAATTTGGACCAACTATTGGCCGAAGACTTACCCGTCTCTCACTCGGAGTTCTCGTCGATCTCGCGTCGCGTCTGTGAAGACACGCCACTGTCTTCAGTGTTGTCTAAATATATCGATTCCAACGATTTGGTCGACGATCACGAAGAGAACCGCAAACTATTGCTATACCGGAAGACAGGGATCACTGGAATCAGTGTTTTGTATCGCAAAGAAAATGTGGCCGAAAAACAACACAAGTATTTTGAATTAGATTTGAATGAAACCATTGGACACAATTTGGTCCGAAAGACGGTCATAGAGTTCCCCACATTTCTGGTCGTTTTGAATCAATTCAAGCATTTGTTTGATATTATTGACGAAAAAGCATTGAAATCAATACCGGTATCATAAAAACATCGTGTATTATATGATTGTCAACTAAAAGATTATTAAATTTAATTTTTAGTGAAATATAATAAAATGGTTATTAAATAATAGTTGTCTATAATTATTGAACGGAATCGAGTTGTCTGAGCCATGAATAGTCTTCCTCTACGTATGTGTTTCGCTCATCATTTTGGTCATCGATGACCATTGCTTTCACTTCAGTGTCCCTCTCATTAGTGTCCAAATTAGTGGAATTCGACTGATTGTCGCTCTCGTCATTCGATGACAACATTGGCTTCATTTGCAGATCAGAGGGAACTTTGAAATGTTTCTCATCTTTGATCTCTTGCTTAATGTCTTGACATTTATTCAAAGCCGTCAGAAATGTTTTGCTTAAGATATCAATCGGTGGCAACACATGTGAGGGCACGTTGTAGAACATGTCTTCCACGAGTTTGCCGACACTAGTATTGGTCTTGAAATACGAGTCAAACTCTTCGCTCTTCAACACCTCTTTGCGCTCTTTCTTATTGATGAGCATCAGTGCCATCGGCGACAATAAGTCGCCGGTATTCCAGTTCATGACTTGCGTTTGCGGCGGTTTATACAGATTGTCGCCCAAAACAAACAATTCCTGTCTGCTATTCATACAATAAAACTTGGATTTCTGTAAGACTTGATTATATCTATGGTCTTTAAGTACGAATGCTTCCTCATCAGTAAAAAGTGTGGCAATTATTGGCTGATTCTTGGTATTGATTGGTACGGAACCGACGGGTTCCTCCGAATCGAGTCCATAGAAAGTTATGATTGTATTGGAAGCGACGGCCAGTTTGTTCTCCCATTTGTTTAACGATATGCTTTGAATCGTCTCATACGGTTGAAGCATCCAAACAACTATTCAAATCATTTATTAATTAAAATTTGAAGTCTTAAAAGTTCAAAAACTGATCATCACTTACTGCTTAAATCTAAAAGATTCCAGACTTTGACGAGTTGTTGGCGGCCTTCTATCAGAAAATGAGATCTCTCTTCATATCCAAAGTCTACAAAAATTAGTTTCGAGTCCTTCTTCTCTTCAACCGATAATTTGGTCATAAATTTCAGAACATTTGTGTCGACGACGTCCCAAAGCGTGAGAAAGTTATCGTAAGCGATGGCCAGTAGTGACGAGTCTGACGACCAGTTGGCTATAGTAGGCGTGGAAAACTTTGCGCTCTTTCTTATTGATGAGCATCAGTGCCATCGGCGACAATAAGTCGCCGGTATTCCAGTTCATGACTTGCGTTTGCGGCGGTTTATACAGATTGTCGCCCAAAACAAACAATTCCTGTCTATTATTCATACAATAAAACTTGGATTTCTGTAAGACTTGATTATATCGATGGTCTTTAAATACGAATGCTTCCTCATCAGTAAAAAGTGTGCCAATTATTGGCTGATTCTTGGTATTGATTGGTACGGAACCGATGGGTTCATCCGAATCGAGTCCATAGAAAGTTATGCTTGTATTGGAAGCGACGGCCAGTTTGTTCTCCCATTTGTTTAACGATATGCTTTGAATCGTCTCATACGGTTGAAGCATCCAAACAACTATTCAAATCATTTATTCATTTAAATTTTCAAGTCTTAAAAGTTCAAAAACTGATCATCACTTACGGCTTAAATCTAAAAGATTCCAGACTTTGACGAGTTGTTGGCGGCCTTCTATGAGAAAATGAGATCTCTCTTCATATCCAAAGTCCACAAAAATTAGTTTCGAGTCCTTCTTCTCTTCGACCGATAATTTGGTCATAAATTTCAGAACATTTGTGTCGACGACGTCCCAAAGCGTGAGAAAGTTATCGTAAGCGATGGCCAGTAGTGACGAGTCTGACGACCAGTTGGCTATAGTAGGCGTGGAAATGCTATTTAAATTTCCGACTTTAAAACACTTCCACCACTGCTTGTCGTCGTCTGTCACTAAACCCCAGATTTTGAACTCTTTATCCAAACTCGTAGAGACCATGGATTGAGAATTTGGCGCAAACTTAATACAATTAACGTCCGACTTATGGGGCAAATGAATGATTGTATTCAACACATAGTTTTTCATTGTTTGTTTCATTTTCCAAAACTTGAGCCTTATTTCCGGCAGAGTCTGCAAGTCGTCCCACACCTCCAGCGTAGACATCCATTCGCCGTCATCACTGACGGCCGCTTTTGTCACTTCCGTCGGAATTACTGTCACTTCTCTCGTACTTGTGATCAGATTCTGATTGACGACATCCAACTGGAAGAGCTGTCTCTCCGATTCTGGCGAATAGAACTGCAAGTGACCCGTCCGTCCGTTCAGAGTAATGGCTCTCATCTTC